TAAGTAGGTTTTATTCGCAAGACGGATAGTTAACTTTAGAGGTTATAGGGCGTACCAGGTATCTTGTGAAGAGACGCCCCAGGTGCACCCCAACGCCCATCAGCCTAGTGCAGAAGGCTTCTTGTGCCGATTTTGAGTTCAGGGTTTAGGAGTCTTTTCATATGAGGGCATGCCATGGCTCTGTCGTGTCTTTCTTCAACACTCAGAGGCTTCCACCAGTCTCGGAGGTGCTGAGAGAGAGCCCGCAAGGCCCATGTGTGAGTCTCGCTGTGCATCTGTGCCTCCAGCAGAGAACCATAATTCGCTTCTTGGGAGTAGTGTGGAAGCTCTGCTTGATGCGGCGTGTTAGTGTTGGAAGCTGATGAACCCAACTTTAAGCCTCAAGCCCTAGGCCCCACACCGTGTGGACCCTTTTGTCTAGATCACGGGTTTAGGGTAACCGCCTTCGGACTCAAACCAGGCAGCTTGGGGCCAACCATATCAACATCCAAGAGTCCAATCTTCGTACCTCCCACACCCCTATTCGAATCATTCAGGCTTCTATTTTCGTTTAATATGAACCCCAACTCCTAAACCCTGGACCCTGTCCTAAACCCTAAACCCTGGCCCGGCTTAAAGCCGAAGCTCAGCTAGCTGCCCGACGTCTTGAGTTTGAAGTGTCCGAGTGCAGAGACCCGCCCTATAAGGATATAAGACCCCGACGCCCGTACAGACACCCTATTGTAGAAGCCTGAAAATATACCGCTGTTGTTCCTTATAGGGTTCCTTATTTCAAAGATAGCGTACTAAAACCCAGTTGCAATTACTACCCTAAACCCTAAACTCTAAACCCTAAACCCAGTTGCCATTATTAACGCCCTAGATTAGGCCCAGCACCCAAACGCTTGAATCCATCATCCCTTCCGCCATGAACTCCTGGATCCTCACTTACTTCTAGCCCATTGAACCCTAAAGGGAAGCTCAACCCTAAACCCTAAACCCTAAACCCGAAAGCCTAAGCCCTAAACCCTGAACCCCAAAGCCTAAACCCTAAACCCGAAACCCTGTAATTTTAAAACCCCCCAATCCTAGAGCAAAAAAAGCCCTAATCCTTAAAGCCCCTTGAGCACACACCAAACCCTCAGTGAAACCCTTGTAAGAGGGGCTCAGGGTTTAGGGTTTTCGGGTTTAGGGTTTAGGGTTTAAGGACTCTTGAGTAAGTATGGCTTCCGACTGCTTCCTCTCTGGGGTGCCAAGCTAGGAGCAAATGCAACTGCGAACCAAATGCTGGAAGTCTGGTGTGGGTTTGGACGGTGTTTATGGTAACGTTTTCGGCGTTTTTGTGGTGGGGCGTTCAGGGCTTTCGGAGCTTATTTAGGGGTTTCCGCGTCGGGGTGTACATGTTTTACTGAATTGAGGCTTTTGGGGGTTAGCTTGCGGGAGTGCAGTGGTGATGGGTTCAGGGGTTTAGGGCTTTAGAGGTTTAGGAGTTAATTGAGCGGTTTAGGAGAGGAGTCACTGCGGACGATCCGGATCTAGGGGATTTAGTTGCATGTCTAGAGGTGCAACGCAAGGGCTCTTGGGAACAGGAACTCATCGTTCTCGTCATGTCCACGCGAGCTATGGCGAAACCTTGAGAAATACCGGGGCCAGGGGGTTTCTATGCATGCACTCGTCCCTTGTGGCATGTTACGTTAAGGGATTTCTTGCTGGCCTCTACCTACGGTTATAAAATATAAATCCCGCATCACCCATAATAAGGAATATGCTGTAATTCCCGTAGTTTAGGATCCTTAAGGTCATGCAGGATTTATATCACCAAGCGTACCATACCCTAAACCCTACACCCGAAACCCTAAAACCCTGAACCACCCTAAAACCCCAAAATTCAGGGTAGCATCAACAGTAGAACCCTGGATTTGGCGAAAACCCCGCACTGTAGAGCTTTGCTGACAAGTTCAGGCTCTCGTGGTTTAGGGGCTTGGGGCTGACGGTTGAGAGAACTAGGGTTTAGGGAATGAGGGTTTAGGGTTTTGGGAATTAGGGTTTAGGGAATTAGGGTGTAAGGTTTGGGGTTTAGGGAATGAGGGTTTAAGGTTTTGGGTTTAGGGTGTAGGGCTACCCCTGGGACCTCTGTTGTACGCTCATGGAGCACTTTATGAAACCACGTTGAGATGACATGCAACATGAGGCGAAATCCGGTGCCAAGGACGTGAGATCTAAGCCGTGGACTCAATCCTACAAGCTTCACCAGTACTTCCCTCTGCTTTTCTGGGGCCCCTCATTAAAACCCCAAATACCCTAAACCCATAACCCCTCAAACCCTAAACCCTAAACCCTAAACCCTAAACCCATAACCCCTCAAACCCATAACCCCTCAAACCCTAAACCCTAAACCCTAAACCCTAAGCCCTAGCAGGCCATCCTTCAGACGGGTCGGGCAACTTCGGTCCCGACGGTGCAAAGCAGCCGTTCCAAGAGCCGGCCTAAAGGCCGGTTTAGGGCTTCTGGGTTTGGGCTTTAGGGTTCAGTGAGTAGGGTTCAGGGTTTAGGGTTTAGGGTTTAGGGGTTTAGGGGTTCAGGGTTCAGGGTATAGGGTTTGGGGCTTTGGGCTTCTGGGTTTGGGTTTCTCAGGGCTTTGGGGCTTGGGCTTGAGGGCTGAGGGTGCGGTGGTGCAGCGGTGCCGACTGGGGTGTTTTTCGGTCTTAAGTAGGTGCCTGCATGATTTTATGAGGGTGCGTACTGATTTTTGGGGTTTAGCGGGACTATAGGCTTCTCAAAGGTTGATCTAGGGGTCTGTGACAAGCTTTGTGCATGGTGTTGTAGGGCTGCAGGGTTCTTCAAGGATTTATAACATGGGTTGAGGAACCTGACACAAGGTTCGAGGCCCATGGCATGGTGGGGTTCGACTAGTTGGGGTTCAGCGTTTGGGGTTTCGGGTTCAGGGTTTACGGTGTCATGACGGGTAAGGATTGAAGGGTTAGGGCAGGGTTTGGACGGCTTTTACCGGGTAAGGTGTAGGACCTAGAGGTGCGATGGTCCCTAAACCCTAAACGGCGATGGTGGTAGGGTTGTAGGGTTGTTTCTTGTTTTCAGGGTTGAAGCGCCTAGCTGTGGCAGGTTGAAGATAGGGGCCTGGACACGTGTGGAGGGAGAACAACGCCTGTTTCTACTTATATGTTGTAGCACCCATCAACTTCAGGATACTATACCACAATGCCCTATTCTAGCTCCTGCAGGTGTGTTTAAGGTGAATTAGGGTTCTAGGTCATGGGATTTCAGGGTTTAGGTTGGGTACTGCCCCCCCCCATACAGCAACAGTCTACAACAGGGCTACTATTAATTAAGGGCCTTGTATATCCATATGATGAATATTCCCAACTGTTATTGAGTGGGGGCAGTATCCACGGTTTAGGGCTTAGGGGCTTCCCCAACAACCCCTTAAGCCCAACAGCGCCGACACGTGACTGAAGCCAACAACCCGCAGTCTGCGACCTGTCCCCAGGCCCCGCACCAAAGCTGTGAGGACGCCTGCTGCATGGGAGAAGAAAAAAATCAAAATGCGCAGGTTTTTTTATCCAGGCTTTAGGGTTTGGGGTTTAGTTCGGTATAGGGTTTAGGGCAGGGTTTAGCATGGGGGGAGTTTAGGACTCGGCGAAAGGGTAGAGTAGAGAGCTCAGGATGAGGTTTGGGGGGTCGGATTTAGGATAGGGTTCCGGAAAGGGTCTTACCAGAGGGCTTCATGCTAGGGCCTCCCTAAACCCTAAACCCCAAACCCCAAACCCTAAACCCTAAACCGTGGACTCAGACCAGACCGGGTTCCGTTTTCGGGTCTGCGGTGTAGGAGTGGGGGGCCCGGAGCCTCAGAATCCCGAGCCCTAAACCCCCAAAACCCCTAAACCCCTAAACCCTCAAACCCTAAACCCTAAACCCTAAACCCTAAACCCCTAAACCCTAAACCCTAAACCCCAAACCCCTAATCCCTAAACCCTTAGACCAGAAATCTTGAAGCCAAAGAGCCCAATCACACCCAAGCCGGAGAAGCCTGACAGCCCTAACAAGGTTCTAGGTTGGTTTAGGCGCCTCAGCCTCAAGAGTGAATTAGGGTTTAGGGCCTGGGCTTCAACTTTGAATTCAGAGCCCCAAACCAACCCTAAAGTCAGGGTTTTCGGGTCAGGTGAACTTTGACGCCCGAACCCCCAAGGCTATGATAGGGCTTATAGGGTTTACGGATCCTCAAACCGAATCCTCCGAAACCCGAAGCCCTAAACCCCAACCCCCAAAACCCAAA